AATATAATATACAAGTTTCACTTTTTAAATGGAATTACTGAAATCAATCTACTTTTTCATGATATTCTAATTTTATGACCAGCACCTGTACTTTTGCCGTTGCCTGTTTGGGAACACAGAATGGAGCAATCGGCTAAGTGAGCTTAGTGCTTGGAAAAAATCTTTCATTCCTTTGAGACAGCATGAAAAGTCAGCTGAGTACAAAACAGAGTAAATAAAACAAGAAAATGGACAAGAAGAGAGGGAAAAAAACATAGAGTAAATAATGTATGTTTATTCTATTAAAATTTCTGTATCTGTATAATGTGTCTGTTTTAATGTGTTCTCATTTCAGAGGGCCCACTGCCTGTCTTTACCTAGTGCCCCATATTTCCTAACTCCGCCCCTGGCTGCAGCTTTGGGTTACACAGATAAAGTGAAGATATAGTTAAAGATGCACTAATAGTACACTGGTATTCTACTTACCTTGCTCTTCACACTTATTGAAGGATGTGTAAAAAAGAAAAAAGATAAATATTTACTGGATTACCAGACTAATACAGAACATTTATAGAGGAATTATCAGTATTATAAGACCAGTGAACATGTAATTCAAGTATTGTTTAAATTGTTATTCTGATATATTTACCTCTACTGCTTTTTATTTCTTGAAGTGTAGCTGAGTATATTCTAATAAAGATAAAATTCTAGTCATCTCTATTCAGATGTTTTTTATAACCATGATTAAAGAAAAAGGTTAAATATTTCTGAAAAATTTGCTAAAACCTGGTTGTATAAGTGTGCATCCCTTTAAATTAATGTTTTGTTTAACATTTAGAGTCAGTCTTTGTCTATCAAAGGTCGCAGCATTCAAAAATCTAATGTTCACAATCTTTGTCGTGTATATATATATATATATATATATATATATATATATATATATATATATATATATGTGTGTGTGTGTCTGTGTTATTTATTTATTTTTTTACATAAAAGTTCACTCCATGGATCGTGAGGATATTTCATGCTCCCAGCACTCTTGGTGGGTGAAAAAAAAAAATATGAAAATTTAGAATTGCTTTCAATGTAACCATGAGTCCAAAAATGATTGCCGTGTTCAACTTGTATAATTTTAAACTAAAGCATTTCATTTTCTTTATTTTTTGAAGACTTGTTGTGTTGGTAGTTGATGCTAGTATTGATCCATCAATTCCTCTTTAATGAGAGTGTAAATACATCAAAACACAGAACTCACTTTCTCTTAGACAAGCTTCAAAATCAGTGACCACAGCAAAACATTCTATAAGGCTGATGTGGTGTCACTATATTTCAAGCTTTTGTACATTTTACAAGGGTGAAAAGTGCGGAGGTCACAGTAATTAGTTCAAAGACTGAATATCAATAATATTTAAAAACAAAAAAAGATTAATTCAATAATTAGTTTTAATAAACATCTACTAACATCTACTTTGAAATGTTTGCATTATAAAGAGTTGTATTCTTATATTCCACAGGTAATTGGGTTCCTGTGACTTCCTTTTTTAAACAAACATCGGGCCGTATGCTGTTAAATTCTGTTTATCATCTTTATTCAGTACCGTACTTTACATACTTTCTTAAGCTCCATTCTGGTTAATTTGTCCTGTCCTCTGTCTAAGCTGTACGACATAATTATTTGACTCACCTTTGTCTAATGTCACCTCCACTATTTCCTGTGTATTCAAGCTCACTGGCTTTAACATTTCTTTTGGGGATTCTGCTATGTAACTCGTTGCCTCATTCTCTGCTCAAATTCCTACCTTATTTCTCAGCATAATCCTCCTGCGTTTTACTTGTAATTTCTCTTTCTTTTTGTCAGGTTTATTCAATGATGATTATAAAATTAATGCATGTGCATATAGAACATTAAAGAAATGAGATGCTTAACTTTGTTTACTGCAAACTGTCATGCAACTTTGGTAGAAAACTGCTGATGTTTGTGCAAGGATAATCACAGTTATCGGGAGACCGCTCTATTCTGTGATTCAATCAAGAGGAGCATTTTGTCCTATGACCTGATCAATTGCCTTGTCAGAAGAACACTGTTCTGTAGCCCACCCCATGTGTTATGATCTGCTAATAAAAGGCTTCTGCTGAGGACACCCACCAGAGAGCTGATGTGGCTGAACATGGCTCTCTCCTCCTGCAGGAGCCAAAAAACCCTATTCTGTGCGGACTCAGTTTATTTATTATGAACCTACAATTTTGAACGTAACACTTTTTTTAGTTATCACTCTCCAAAAAATCAGCAGAAGTCACATTTAAATGCAAAATTCCTATTTTAAAAAAGCAGTATACCAGAGCATGAACTTCATTAAACATTTTATTGCTATGTAAAAATAAAACATAAATAATCCCGGTACATCCAATGAAAACATTCTTCTTAAAAAAAAAAAAAAAAAAAAGCTAAATAAATTTTGCAAAATAAAGAAAAAAAGTTAACATCATGGGGAAAAAAATAGGGACACTGAATGTTTTTTTAGTTTTAGCACAGCATTGCTGCTACATTACAGACAGGTTGAAATAGTTAAAAATATGTATACTGCACTGTTTTGTACAGACTATTGTTTTCTTAACTCATGTTGACGTTAGAATCCTATTTAAACGTATCTATCTATCAAAATAAAAGCATAGCTATGAGATGCTGCACTGGGCAAAGTCATTAGCTTAAAATAAAATCCAACATACTGTCCTAACAATCCATAAAATATCTGGTGTATATCTACAGTGCATTGTTGACCATGGCAGCAGCTTCTTCCAGGATAAATCCCTGCTGTTATAATGCAGTAAGTGGGAGCTGATGAGCCGACTCACTCAGCAGGCTGAGCAATCTTGTGATGCACATCCTTATCCTCCTTAAAACATCAGCAAATGTGAAAGTGAAGTGTCCTCCCCATGACAGCACAATAATTAATGACAAAAACTTTTCATATTCCAAACGCAGCTCTTCTATGGTTTTAAAGAGACTAAAGTCTAAGCATGCATTCTCTACAAGTGTGAAGTTGCTTTCGTTTTCTGTGACAAATTGCAAAGTGCATATCAGAGCTAGTTGGTGCTCTTGGAGAGGTTTGGCTCTTCAAGCTGTGACTTTAAAGCCAGCTTGTGTTCCAGGAGGCAAACAAGGCTTGGCTCACTACACTCACATTCAGAACGCTTAAATTGGGCTGCACTTAATAGAGACACAAATAGAAACAAAACATGTTAGCATTCAAAACACTTAAAAGTTATCTGTGCATCACCTCGTACCCACATTTCTTAAATTGAGTTGCATGATAAAGAAAATATAGTGACTTTACTTAAACCATTAGATGTAAGTTCTTAAATAAATTATAACCTAAACACAAAAATAACAGTACTAATTAGGGATAGCTAAGCTTTTTACTCCCATATTCAAATGAAGCAAAGCTTTGTTAATGTTATTCCCAGGCTGCAATCTGCAGCAGCGCTCACTGCAATTGTGAAATAACTTAAAATTAAATAGTTACATAAATAAATAAACAAAACTTGCATTGTTTTGTCGTTAATTCCTTCTTTTACAGTACCATGACTTGAAACTGTACAGTGAAATATAATACAGCAGTTACAATGAAGACAGAGAAGTGAAGCCACTCTCTGGTATTACTGGTGTTGAAAGGAGGGATGGAGGGAATGGTTAGCTGGTTTCAACAAGACAGACTACATAAAACGCTCTACAGTAATCCCAGTCGTTCAGCCTTTCTATATTCCTTTTCCACAAGGCGATTTGGATGAGTTGAGGCCCCACCCAGTGTCCAAAGCTGCCTTGATTTCACATCTATACCGGGGTTACTAAGATCTGAGTTTGGCTTGGGTGGGAGTCATCAAAGAAGTGTGAGGTGAGGAGGAAGTTGAGGTTAAAAGGCGAGGTTTCTGCAGCCAGGCTTGCCATGATGACCTCAGAAGTGGTCCATTCTGGCGGTGAAAAGGCTGCGGGAGCGTGGCATGGCCGAGGAGACGCGGCCAAAGCTGGACGAAGGCCACTTCATGATGAACTGGGAGGTCACTGGCAGCAGGTACCTGGACAGACGGACACGAACGAGGGATGGAGGGATTAGGGGGGAAAGGATGAACATAATGAGAGGATTAGTCCTGCAAAGGTCACAATTTAGAGGTCGGGGCGCTTTGGTAGGCATAGAGAAGGCATATTGCCCACTTCACATATTGATTCAACCATTTATAGCCATCTTCATTTGCTCAGGTTGATTTTAATAATGGTTGGGTGATGTCAGGATATAATGACGTCCCTCAACTTTGAAAAAGAGAAATGGAAAATCTGGAACTTAAAGACTGAAGTCTATATTATTAAAGGCATTTCTTGAAGAAAAACTAGGAAAATATACCATTGCCAAGGTATTAGGGTTATTTGGTTTGTCTTCAAAAATACCCAGTGGAGATGAATTACATTTTCATTTACAGTGCAGTGAAACTGTATATGTAAATAAAGAGATCATATCTCTCCTATCATTGCTTCTCTTCATTGGCTTCCTGTTAAATCCATTAAATGGCCAAGCTCCATCGAGAGCAGGTAATTTCAGATGATGATAATATATTATGATGAAATAATGTAAAAATTTGGGCCAATATTGACTGATAGCTCCTGTTTGGCTGTGACACCATCCTGGAGAGAAATATCAGCTGTGCTGCTGCCATCAACACCCTTGTTTATAGATGTTGGAGATGGGCCTGTTTTTCAGTGTAGTCCTGTTTTTCTGACTGGCTGGATGCGCTCTCTTCATCCTCTGACACGGTATCTGGCTCAGAGCTTGTCTGCATGCTGTGTGTTTCCTGGACAGGGCCACCTTTTACAGTTGCCTTTTGTATCTCTGCTTCTGTCTCCTTGAAACCCAGTTGGCATCAGCAGATGGCCGCTCACACTGAGCCTGATTCTGCTGGAGATTTCTTCCTGTTAAAAGGGAGTTTTTCCTCTCCACTGTCCCTGCAAGCATGCTTAGTGTGAGGGATTGTATTCGAGTCAATGAGTCGATGCAATCAACTGGTTTTCCTTAGATAGAAAACTTTGAATCAATTTGACTGTATGATCTGGTGAACTGTAAAATGCTTTGAGATGTCATGTTGTAAATTGCCGTTTTATAAATAAACTGAATTGAAATAAATTCCTTATCAAGGAAAATGAATATATCTGAACCAAATCAACCCTATACAAAAAAGCTATGTGTCTGGTAATAATATAACTGGTTGCAAAAAAAGCAATCAAGCATTTACAAAGACTAAAAGGCATTTCTCTTAAATTCTTTTAGTTGGATTATGGCAAAACATTTTTTTTACAGAGATACTCTTACAGATTTTTTTTCTAATAAAGGGACTGTCTGAAAGTTCAAGATCTTACTACAGAATTTGATTTAATTCATGTTACCTCTGACCCAAGTGTGCTTGGATAAGTGTTTTGAGGGTCATACAGATAGAGCACTGGTGTGTTTTTTATTTTTTTTTTTGTTAAGCAGTGGTTTTAGAGTTCAAGCTCTTAAATTGATGCAGTTTTTTCTCAGTGTTATTTTCATTGTTCAAACATAAACACTGATTTTAACTGAGGTGTCTGGTTTGTTTGTGTCTTACTGGGAAAATCCTTGATGCACTTATGGATTAGTTCTTTCAGCAGGCCAGAAATTTCCTGGATAATTTCACTGCTGCTCCATTATCTCACCATTTATTAACAAAAGCTCTTCCTATGTTCAAAGCAAAGCCTTAGAAATCCTCTTGTAACCTTTTCCAGACTGATAAATGTCAAAGGCTTTGTTTCTCATCTGTGCTTGAATTTCTTTAGATGCTTTGCTTTTGGATTTGGTTAATATCAGCTTATTTCATTTAGAAAAAATGTAATCATCACTTGCCCATTTAGTATTGATATAGGTTATCTGATATAAGAAAAAAATGCTGCTGAAACATGAAACATATGGAAGAAATCTTTAAGGAACAAATTATATTTTACAGTTGTGTACTGCAAGGTTTTGCTGTTGGTGTTGAATAATGTTCAGTATCTTAAATAAATAAAAAAATCCTACATATAGACTATGTCATGGTAAGAGAGCACACTTCTGCAGTTAGATCAAAACAGCTGTTTTGATTATGCATGTAGGAGTATTAAACTGAGATCCTATGCTGTCTTTCAGTGCAGTCTATTTTCTATTTTTTTCCATAATTTGACCCTTAAAGTTTCTAGTATCAAGAGCAGAAAAATCCTCACCTATCGTTCCGAGGCACAGACGTCAGTACCTTTCTAAGACTTTTCTATGACACCTTCCACCGAGACAGAGCAGTGAGGCAGCTCCTGCTAACAGCGTTCCAGTACCTGAGAATGAGACCAGTGTCAGGTTGAGATAGAGCCAAGGAGTTCTGGGGGCGGGGAGGAGGGGGCGCAGGTTATGGAACCTTCTACCATCTGACTTTGTTACTTTAAATGAGTCTCCTGCGGCAGTCAGATCAATGTCAAATAAGGTGATCAGATCCTGAGCAGGGTTAACTGAAGCTTAGGCAAATATTGCCGTAACTTGCTTAAAACATTTGAGATGGGAAGTTTTAAAATTCTTTCCCTCCGTTCAGTATTAGCAGTGATTTAAATTTACGAGCCTCTCCAGAAGACTTATATCAATAAATTATACATTCAGTGACCCTATTTTTTACATCTTCAGAGAGGATCTTTATTTAATAAAAAATACATTTAATGCTCATTTAGTTAAACAAGTACAATGGTCACAAGAAGAGTTCCCTGTGGAAGTGTTTAAGAAGTGACCATCTAATCAAAAGGAACCCACTGGGGCTGAGGATTAAAGCAGAGGAATAATATCTTCTTTAAAGCATGTGTAGCGATAGCACATTTTTCTCTGACAGCTCTCGGTTCTTGTGAAATAGCTCTTGGACAAATTAACTGAGCAGCTTCTCCCAAAGTCGACTGGATAGAAAAAGAATAAGACGAAGAAGAGGAGGGGGGGGAAAAAAAGAAAAATGTCGCTGAGGGCATTCATTTCAACACAGCCTCAAACCCAAGAGAGTTAGAAGAGGATTCATATTAAATTGATTTAGTCCAA